GGCTAGCAAGTCAACAACAAATCGCAGTAACACTTTATTTGAAGTGGTGTGCATAAGACTGACATGACACCGTCATAAACATGACATAATACCTGTCATGAACATAATGTTTATGACAGTTGTCATGAAGTGTCACTTGGTAAATAATGACACTTTTAATGCAGAGTTGCATTAAAAGTCCATTAAAAGTGCCAACTTTGCATGATTTTGTAAATAATGACAATTAAATCAAAGTTGGCATTTTTAATGGACTTTCAATGCAACTTTTAGAGCAACTTTGCATTAAAAGTGTCATTATTTACCGAATGACACTTCCTGACAACTGTCATAAACATTCCTAAAGACTTCTTTATGTTCATGACACGTGTTATGTTATGTTTATGACAGTGTCATGTCAGTCTTATGCACACCCCTTCAAATAAAGTGTTACCCAAATCGCTTGTGTTTTCCAGCAGCCATTGCACAGTGCATACAACGGTAAAAACCAGCTGACCAAACCTCCTGGAGGTTGCTAGGTGACAGGCAGCATGTCGCTGGGATTGTTAGGAGAAGGGCAATGCATACTGATATGTGACATTGCAACGGAAGTTTTTGAAAAAAAAAAAAAAAAAAAATTTCCAGACACCAAAAAACATTAACTTATTGCCAAAAAAGAGCTAGGTGTTTTTTAAGCACTTAGGCTATTTTTAGTAGCAGTCAAAAGCCAAAGGGAAGTACAAAAACATGGAAAATGGGAATTTTGAATAACATGTCCCTTTTAATATGACACTTACCTGCACCACACTTCAAAGTGGACGCCTCCTCCACTACTCAGGCCTTGACTCGACAGCGAGCTGAGCAGCAGTCGCTGGACAGGAACTCCTTCAGGAGCGAGAAGGACGTGAGTCTCGGTGTGACCAAACACCGGATCCGGGACGCAAAGAGTGGTGATGGTACGATACGGCTTCAGGTTCAAATCTGGTGGAGGAAGAATTAGGGCTAAGAGGAAGGTAACATGTTGGGTTTAAATAGGCCTGTCGCACTGACAAATTTTACTGGACGATAAACTGTCCCAGAAATGATGGCAATAAGAGATAATGTTGTAGTTATCGCTAATAATAACAATAAGCGATAATAACTTGATGGTTTTGAGACCATTTTTAAGTACCTTAATATACTGATACATACAATTACAAATTTGCCCTCTCAAAGATAAACTTTAATTCTACAAAGAACACTTAACACTGGAAGATATTCTAAGTATCGAAAATAAAACGGAACAAACAAAACCAATTAAAAAAACGGAAATAAAAACTAGAGGTTGACCAATACATCTCCCAACCAATATTTTGGGATGATATTTGTGTTTTGTTCTTATACCAATGTCGGCTGTTACGAGTATGCATTCACTGATCCATGAGTGCATCCAGAAGCCATGCCTTGAGATAACGTGACCAAACGCTTTTCCGATCCCTCCATGCTAGAGAGCAGCTGGTAACGTTACAAGACTAAATGTCAACAACAACAAGGGCAAGTTTTCAACTTTCATTGTATTTTTAACTGTCTAGTTTAGCTCCATCTGCACTTTGAAAGCCTGCCTCTGTCTCAGTGGTGTCAAATGTTCCATATTGTTTGCCACCAATTCTTAATATGTTACATTAATAAATTGAGACTTGTGTAACATTCGTTATGATTGTGTGATTTTTTTATCATATAAATGAACAATGAAAAAGCAATACTGGCTTCCAGATGAAAAAAAAAATTGGCAGCACATATCGGGATCAGTTGGATTGGTGTAAAAAGAATCGGTAACGGCCTTAAAAAAAACAAACAAACAAAAAAAAAACCTTCATTGGTCAATCTCTAATAAAAACACGAACAACCGAAACCATAAATAAAACGGATTATGATGCTTCTGTGAGGAAAATTGCCCTTCAAAAAATACTAATCATCAGAATGGAAATGATCGTTTATCATACAATTAATCCATTAAACTGCTTATTGCGACAGACTTAGGTTTAAAGTTTTATTTTTATTTAAGGGCGGCCTTACTGCTCTCTACAAGGCTCAGATCAACGTTGGAGGCAGTGCTGAACTCCTGGGAGGGGAAACTGTACTGAACGTAGCAGTCAGCCTCTCCCCACACTGTGGACTGCAGAGGGGTCAGCCCACTGACTTTCTCCACTCTTAGAACAAACACATGCTCCCTCATAACCCTCACTTGTGCTGCATTCACCTGAAAGACAAAGGCTGGGGTTAAAGGTTATTTAGGAAAAGTAATTCAAGCAAAGGTGTCACAATATTTCAGTATTTGTGCATTGACATAATTGTACAAGTGCCTTTATGCAGCATAAGCAGAAGAAGAGGGTGAGGCTCTGAGTCTGTTTAAAGTTCTTCACTGATGTAATCAGCAATTCTATTATTCACATCAGTAAGCAAATATGTTTAAGTGAAAGCAGAGTAACAGCTCTTATATTACATATTTGAAGTGCTGAGCACATACCTTTGTTTGTGGGTGTGGCTGGTGATCGAGCATGTGAACCGGTCTCACCAGGTGAAGAGACGAGTCGTACTCCTCATCTCTGGTGCGCTGGAGGGAGATGATCTGCTCTGCCCGACCCATAGCCAGAACAACCCTGAGGTTTCCCCTGCAGCAGCCTGAGAACACGTCAACGACAGGCATATAGCAGTCGACCCCTAAAACTGGGTACTGCGCCTGCAGAAGGAGCTGGGTGATCTTTGGGTCCCTGAAAGTACGAAAAGGAAGGGAAATATCGAATACCATTAAAAGGATTTCCTGCTGCCCAGTTTGCAGTCAGTTTTGGCAAGTTATCATATTGATGGCATGTGTGACACAGCTCACAATTAAGTGTTAAATTGCACAACAGCGCCCCTCAGAGGAGAAAGTATATAAGGTAACTTTCAGCTTGTTTACTGCTAACGAGTTTGAATGGATGTAGGTCTGTCATAATAACAAATTTTGCTGGACAATAAATTCTCCCAGTAATTATTGAGATAAAAAATAATATTGTTGTTTTGAGATCATTTTCAAGCATTATATTGATAATGCAATAATAATGCAAGTTCGCCCTCTCAAAGACTAATAAACTTTTTTTTAGTAAAACCACTCCACACTGAACCTCAAAATTCTAGGTATGTTTTTGTGAGGGTTAATATTATAGCATGACATAAAGCTCAAAAAGACAATTTTGCTTAATAACTCCCTGTACAGTTGTAAAAAAAAATGGACTTGTTTTTGTTGTCTTACCTAAATGACACGTAGAACTGATGTAAAGGTAGTTTAACGAGGCCGAAGAGTCGATCGTTCCCAGAGCTTCCAGTTTTCTGCCATACTTCAATCACCATCATGTTATCCTTCATACGCTCTAAAAGTTTTGTTGTTAATCCCACTGGTGTTACCTTTTACACAAAAACAACAACAACAAAAAAGACAATCATATTTGGTTTATTTTGTAATCTGTTTTTTTGTTTTACATTTTCACTGAAATGTGTGTCCCAGCAAATCTACTCGCTTCTCTCCTCATACATCACAATGAGAGCACCTTTACATCCCTCTGTACATTATTTGATGCACAATTAAATTAAAACCACAAAGTAGGTTGTGATGTCTAAATGTTCACAGAAAATTATTTAAAGTGCTTGGACAAAAATAGAGAAGTAGGACAGCAAAAGCTATTTAAACTATAAATACAGTGGAAAAACACATGACTTTCTAAATATTCACCGAGGAAAAGCAGATTTCTTAGTGATTTAAGTCTTCAAAGATTAAATCAGAAAAGATGGTTAGCAACAAACAGACACGTTTAGCAAGAATGGCAGTGAAATTAAATTAAGTGATTCAGACCGATGGAGACGGCTGAGTTTCTTGAACCCACCTGAACAAAGTTGAAGGTGGGGTTTGACCGGCCCCAGCTGACCGTGGATCTGGCCGTCTCATCGCACCAGAACAGCTTACAGTTCAAGAAGACGTTTGGAGCCTGCTGCGGCCCGCAGCTGAACTTCTTCCCATCTGGAACCATGAGTAAAGCATGCAGAAGGACTTGGGGCTCCTCTTCGGCCAGAGAAGATTTAAGCGGAGATCTTCGGATCCTGGGAGGATTCGACGGTTCCCTCGTATGTGTCTGAAGAGTCCAAACATTCAGCCTGGGATGATCCATCCCTGGAGCCGATAAGGCCTCCATGTCAGAACGCTGAGATCTTCCAACATGTTCTCTTTCGGGGTTGGCTGCGATTTTCAAAGGCAGCGTGTCTTTCGCAACCACGTTCCCTGTTTTTTCATTAGAGAAACTTTTGCTGTGTGTTCCTAGTTCTATGGAAACCTGCAAAATATATAGCAACTAGGTCACAACCCCTTAACTTTGTTGCTTACAAAAATAAACAAGTAAAATAAAAAGCTAAAAATTACTGTGAGAGGTCCAATGTCCCGCGTTTCTTTGGTTCCCTCAGAGCCGCAAACTGGCAAAACAACAGACTGACTCAGCTCCTGGCTCTGCAGTAGACTGCGCAGAGCGTGAACGGCCTTACCAATAAAAACAGGCTGCAAAAGCAGAGAGAAAACATTTTTAGCACCTGTTACACAGGCAAATGATCAATATCTTGAGCTGCTTTAATTAACCTTATTATAAAAAGGTATATTAAATTAATAAAGTAGCAAAAATTTAAAAAATGGGGAAAAAAATTAAAAATGCATTTATGTTTAAAATTTGTACACCACCAGCAGAAGGTTACTGATCATACATTTAAAGAAACTCTACAAATCAGCCTAAAAATTAATCAGCTTCTTAGAGCCAAAAACATATAGATTTTACTTTTGTTGTTATTATTATAGTTAGGATTAAAATACATTTTCAAGGGCTTTAAAATTTTTATTAAATAATCTCGTGCTTCAGTTTTTCTCTTCAGGGGTTGCCACGGCGATTCACCATCTCTCGCTCTCTCTCTCTCCTTCCACTTAGTCCTATCCTCTACAGTGATATCCTCAGAATTTCTTATAATTAATTTTACTTTAATCCAAACTTAGTCACATATCAACTATTTACTCCTTAAATTTTGACTGTTTCATCAGTTTTACATTATAATTGACGGTTTTGATTGGTTTTCTATTATTATTTCACTTAGATCTCATGCTGTTTGTACACTTGTCATTTTATTTTTAACTTCTGTAAAACATTTTGATACATTTGCTTACAACTGGGAAAAGTATCTGTATGGCTATCAGATGGTTGAGAGTTTATTTCCTGTCTTCCAGTATCTGTATAACGTACGAATGGGTAAATGATTAGGATGTTTAAGGGTGAATGAGGCTTGTTGCGTACCTGTAAACTGAGTGGTCAGATGGGATAGAAAAATTAGAATTAGTATTTATCTTAATGTGTACATCTCACTGCCTGTTATGTGCTTGCTTTCTATAAATAAAATTGTTTGTAGAAGCTAACTAAAGTAGTAATCAAGGTGTCTGAGTAACTTACTTTTTTCTGGTCACTCTTTCTTGAGTAAATCTTGAAAGTAAGCTCGCTTTCCCACCACAGCTTGATCGCTGCCGTGTTGAAGTGGACAGGAAACACAGAGAGCTGGTGGAACTTCACAGCTTAAAGAAACACACAGAGAAGCTGCATCAGAAACAAACACCATAAGGAACAGTTTTACAAAGCAGGGCTGCAGCTAACGTATATTTTAGTAATGATTATTATGGATTATTCGGATACAAAAAATGGCAGATTCTGTAGATTTTTTTAACCTTTCTTTATACAACATTGAAATGCAAATAATCAAATTAATCAATATCTTTTTTCAAATGAGAATAAAACATTTTACTGCAATAACAGCATTTCTTTGTGAAAGCTTGATCATTTGTAGCAAAGAATATATCTGCAGATAAAAAATACTTTTAAAGTCAACATGTTAAAAGCTCTGCACTTTCTGCCTTATTTTACATTAATACAGTGTAGGGCAGATCCGTTGATTTTCTGCATTAACCAATTAATAACTGGACTCCAAAAGATTCTTATTAAGACATTTTTTACTAAATTCAAACCTAAAATTGAAGCTAAAACTACCACTAGATGAATTCTGTGTGGAGCATATTTACTAATTGTTTATTTTTTAAAAGAAAAATGTAGATATTTTTGTACAGCTTTGGGTTAATTATTGCTCCGAGTGTGTTGTTCTTTCAGAAATTTTTAAAGTCTCTATATACTCCAGTTAACGATTAATCGATTGCTTCAATAACCAATTCACCAAGATCAATCTGACTAATGGCTCAGTTACAAATAACAGGAAGAGTTACCTCCAAAAGCGATTTTACTGGAAACGGCTCTGGTCACGTCTACATCTCCACCTTTACTCCGCCCAAACTGACCCGAGGCTGAAGTCATTGGAAAAACATACTCCACAAAATACGTGCTATAAAAAAAGAGAAGAGATTCAGAGATTCTCAAATACAAGTGATACAAATGCTAAGATGAGCTTTAGCTAAAAATAACATTACTAATTGTTTTACCATTTCTTGCTGGGCAATGGGCGTGGAGGTTTCCCTTTGATGGCCTTCTTGGTTGTGGTGGCTGAGCTGCCTGCAGGAACGGCGAGCGACTCAACGGTAACTCTTGCTATTCGGATGAGACTCAGCAACTTGAGCTGCTCTGCACTGAATGAAGAGTAGAGATCATCGCCACGATCTGCAAACTGCTGTTCATCTAAATTTGGACTGAAAAAAGTCAAAATGTGGGTCAGAACAGCCTTTGCTGTTTTTAGATGAAATGTTGTTTTTGGGGCTCTTACCTTTGGCTGATCCCAGGTTCAGACTGCCTCGGTTTCTCTGGATGAGTTTTATTGGATGTTGTTGCTCCTTGACTGTTGTCCCCTGCGAAATCTGGTGCAGTGTCTGAATGCTTGAAAACAATAACTTCAATAAGCTGTCACCTGAAAAAAATGGCTAAAACTAAAAGATAAAGAGTAAATACTCACAGGAGTTTTGTAAAACAGATTTTCCAGTAAGCTCTGATCGTAAAGCGGATCGTTGAGCTCGCTGTCTCCACACACACTGCTGTGGCCGGAGAAAGATTCAGGAGGTGACCCCTGGATGTCCCACAGAGGCAATTCAGATGTCACAGAGCTGGGGGGAAACAGAAAACAAATTAAAAAATGCTGGAAACAATTCAAATTTATTCTAAGACAAAAAGGGAAATCTTATGAAACTGGCTCTTCTTTTTAGCTCATATTTTATTGGCTTATCTAATTAAGTCAAATTTCTTAATTGCTTGTTTTGTTGCTTCATTTGTAATTTTATTTTATAAAAACAGGACTCTATTGTAAATGGGATTTTGGATCTCAATCAGACAACCTGTATAAATAAAGGTCAAATAAAGAAATAAAAAACACAATATTTGCAAAAGGTTTGTCACATTAACACAACAAATGTAATTTTTTTTAATTCTGATTTTATAATATATCTGAGGCAAGGTTTACAAACATTTTTAGCAATAAAAATAAAAAATAAAATCTGGTGCTTGAATAGGAAACAGAAATAATCTGCATTTAAATTATCATTCATATGTCACCTGAATACAATTCTGCATTGAGTGTTTGCAAAAGTTTTTACACCCCCTAAATTTTTTTTATTCCATTGCATTTTATTGGAACTTTATGTGATAGACTAGATTTATCTGGCTGTGATCGTCATGTTAACAGAGTTTAAAACGTCCAGCAGCTCAGGGGGGAGAGGAAAGGTTTGTCATTGCACCATTGCAGGCGGAGAAAATGCAACAATTTGGGAAAATCTGAACTGGTCTGTTTGTATTGATTTTAACACAAAAAAAATGAATGATAATTTTTTTTCCCAGTAACCATTATATTGAGATATTGATTGTTTTTGACAAAATGGTTGTTGCAAAGTTTATATACATACTCTAAGACTTCCAGCTTGACTCGTACTTAAAGGGGCAGTATTTTGTATTTTCCAGGCACATAGTGACATTTCATAGCAGAATCAAGTAGCTATGTTACCTTCAGTTAGTATAAATATGATGCCTTTATCAAATATGGCTTAAAACAAATTTGACTTTGTAATTTAACAACTTAAAATTCAGCCTGTGTCTCTTTAAAAACTCCTGGTCATTCTGAAACTCCGCCTTCAGGAAGTCATCACACCATCACGCCTCTATTAACCCTTTAACAATGATTTTACCAGCGTTGCACTGAGAAGTGGCTCATATAATGAGCTTAGCAGATGCGCAGTAGCATCAGGTGCTTGCTAATTGCTGCTGGCTAGTCTAGAGGAGCTGAGAGAGGGAGTCACAGGGGAGAGTTGCTCTGTAATATAGAAGCTGGGAAGATTGGAAACTGCAGGTCAGAGGATGAGCTGCGTATCCAAAGCGGTGCTTGGTCCATCTGGACGTTTTGTACAGCTGAATGGTTACCATGAAGACAAAAGGATTTCTCAAACATGCATGAAAGAGTCATATCAACACTCTAGTATGTTTTTGATGAAGCAATAACATTTTAACATAATGTAAAGCACAAAAAAGTTGATATTATATAAAACCACCCCTTTAAAAGTGGTTCTACAAATTACTAATTTAAAACTGCGGTGAATACAAAACTACTCAATCCCAATAAAATGCATTACCATTTGTGATTGTAAAGTGATAACACTAGGTGAAAAATGTAAGTGGCACAAATCCAGTGAGTCTACCTGCCAAGCAGCAGATCCACAGCTCTTTTGTCCATGTCTGGCAGACAGTCCAGGCCACTGTCTGAGGGGAAGGGTCCATCCCCAGAGTGTGCATGCAGGATATCCTGAAGAAACATACGTGATGTAGAAGGGAACAAGCTGCAAACATAAAGAAGGGTAGTAGGTATTAAAAAACATGTGCATTTCTGGAATCTTTAAAAAA